CCCAGCCATAATAGGATGTGTTCAGAAACCCTACTCGGTGAGTAGAGTACACTCGTGATCTAAAAGGTTTATGCACCGATTTTTTGTAGATTTCGGAACGCGTCCCAACTTCAGGAGAGAGACAACCACTGCTTGACACGCCAGCGCCGCCACTAATTACGAGAGCAGAAGGATGGCATATACGGTATATGCCATCCTTCTGCTCTCGTAATAAGTGGCGGCGCTGGCGTGTCAAGCAGTGGTTGTCTCTCTCCTGAAGTTGGGACGCGTTCCGAAATCTACAAAAAATCGGCACACAAACCTTTTAGACCACGAGTGTACATTTAATTAGCCAATCAGGGCAAAAGTAACTAAGATTTATTTATTATGATTGGTTTATTAAAGTAACTCTATCCATCGAGTAGGATTTCTGAACATAGCCATAGATGAAGTAAAGAGTAGGAGTAAGAGTAAGAAATAAGCAGTAAGAATATTGACCAATTCTATTCTCATGTTTCAAAAATAATCGATTGTGATTGGTCTGTTTACTTACTACTTATTTTTTACTCCTACTCCTTACTCCATCTATTGTAGACCCATCGGGTCTAAGGCCCGAAATACTCTATTTTGATTAGTCCGTCTTCAGAAATGCATCAATCAGAGTATTTCCATCCAGCAAGCAATCCAGCATGAAAACAAGCTGCCGCTGGTTTTACTCCATCTATTGTAGATCGGGTAGTGTCTTAGTGTCGGTCTATAACCTCGTTTTAAGCCTTAAGCAACTGACCAATCACAGTCAATTATTCTCCTTATGGCTCCTGCACACAGGACGCGGTAATCCTTGCCACGCGGCGGAAGTCCGCGCAACAGCCAATCAATATATTGTTTTTCCGTAAGAGCTAAAAGGTTATTATGGAAAGCAGCATATTGATTGGCTGTCGCGCAAACTCCCGCACGCGGCAAGCATTACCGCGTCCTGTGTGCAGGAGCCATTACGTCTCAAGAATAATCGATTGTGATTGGTCAGTTGCTTACGACTTAAAGCTTAAAGCGAGGTTGTAGACCGACGATAAGGGTCCTCACACATGAAATAACATAACTGCATGTGCATAGCATAAGACTGCATGGACTAATGAGCATCGAGTATTGAGCATCAAGCATCAATATGGTGGCTAAATACTCGATGCTCATTGGTCCATACAGTCTTATGCTATGCACATGCAGTTATGTCATTTCATGTGTGAAGGCCCTAAGGGCGGGCATGAAGCAGACGCATTTTATCGTTATCACCGCGAAAATGCGCCTAACAAACGTAGTAAAAACGCACTTTCTTAAATGACGTCTCAAAAATGCGCTTAGCTCTGGCCACTAAAATCAAGCTGGTACCGTTCTTAGGCTTGTCTCTGGCTAAAGACCTCTAGTTAAGAAATGTAATAATATTGAAGTAAAAAAATCAACTATCGACATAGAAGACACTCGAAAATATTGAGAAAATAATCGATATTTTATATTAAAAATAAGAATCGAACATCGATTTATTAGTGAATGATTATCTAACCTTTGTTTATATATAAAAAAATTTACATTAAGTGGTCTGTTCTTTTCATCTGCACTGCTGAACTGGTGCAATAAATTAGAGTGAGAAAACATATATTTTTCTCACTTTAACTTATTGCACCAGTTCAGCAGTGCAACTGAAAAGAACAGACCATAGGTGTTAAACATCCAATGTAACATCAGTTATTTTTAAGAATAATTAATGGAATTTATTATTATTATTAGCATTATCACTCTCTCTCTCTTTCTCTCTCTCTCTCTCTCTCTCTCTCT